ACATTTAACTGACTTAGCCACCCAGGCGCCCCAACACATAGAGATTACTTAAAAAAAAATAAAATTAAAAAAACAAAACAAAACAAAACAGAGGAGTTCAGAAAACCTCACTGGACCCACCCAGGTTCTCACATTCTTGCTCCGCAAGAGAGCCAGTCTTTGGACGCATCCAGGGTTAGCCCGGAGAAGGCTTCAGCCAACAAGAAGCTACTGCTGTGGCCAGTCAGGTCAAGAGTCACTTGTCCCCATGCCCATCCCTCCTCTAGGCCCCCAAACTTTGGGAAATCGGGGCTTTAAATGGGGATGGAGAAAAGATGTGTCCAGGATGATTGGTGTCCCTCTCTTCTCCAAGGAGGCAAGTCCCAGCTTGAACCGCTACTGGATGGAGAGGAATCTGAGGGGAAGGCTTAAGACCAGGCTGAGCAGAGTATCTGAGACATAGTTAGGAGCTGAGAAGAAAAATATTCTTTTTTTTTTTTTTCAAAGCAGGCCCTATGCCCAATAGGGACTTGAACTCATAACCCTGAGATCAAAAGTCACATGCTCCACTGACTGAGCCAGTCAGATGACCTGAGAAAAAAATGTTTTGAGAGAGAATGATCGGATCAGTGATCAGAAACATAGAGCTGTTTTGTATTTATACTTCCTGGGGCTGATAGCTCCTAATGAATTGGTTATAGAGACTACGTGACAAGGGGGAAAGTCCAGGCTGGGTCTTCTGCCTCCAAGCCTGTTGTCACTCATATTTTCATTTACACAACGTTGCCCTTCCCCAGAGTCCCGGATAACACCGTCCTCGCTCCCTCCGAGTCCCAAGTCGTTATTGGTAAGTCAGGACCTTAGCTCACATATTTCAAAGTTAGTGACCCCTGGCCAAACCTGTTGCCCTAGCAACGCACTCTTGAAATTTCCCAAGTCAGGGCGCCTGGGTGGTTCAGTCGGTGAAGCGTCTAACTCTTGATTTCAGCCCAGGTCATGATCACACGGTTTGCGAGACTGAGACCTCCGAGTTGGTCTCTGAGCTGAAAGTGCCCAACCAGCTTGGGATTCTCTCTCTCTCCCTCTCTCTCTGCCTCTTCTCCGCTTGTTCTCTCTCTCTTTCAAAATAGATAAATAACTTACAAAAAAAAAAAAAAGAAATTTCCTAGGTCATACAAACTTTGAAAGGTGGCTCTCATAGCAGGATTTGGGGGTACAGGAATGGAAACAGAAGCCCCTCCGGCATCCTCCCCGCTCCAAATTTGTTAAAAGGGATTCATGCTGTGCAATCAATGCTCATCCATTCTAGGACCTGGCTGGGCATGAGTTGCACTTCCGCCATTTTGCCGCATGGCCTTAGGCAAGACCCTGTCCCTCTTTCTAAGCCCCGTCTCTAAAATGAGGGGATTGCATTGGGTGATCCTAAACCGAGTCCATAATTCCCTCACTCTGTGTATACTGGCTCCTAGTGGCCAACTTGAATCCTTGCACCTAATTCACTGTTGTACTTCATGCTGTCCCCAGGAGCGTTGGCTCACTGAAGAAGGCAAAACAGGTCTGAGGGGGGCTCCCTGGTGTATCACCAGCTACCCAATAACAGCCCAATCGGGGCTCCTACGGTGACTGTGGGAGGAAGAACAGAAAGCACGGGAGACAGTGACCACAGTGCTCGCCCTCGCTCTGTATCGTATTCTCCAAAGCTGTTTGCAACCCCCCTGCAGACTGGGGCACCATGGCTAATGCAAATGGGCAGCCTCTTATGAGCTGAGAAGATTTCACATATTATAGTTGCCATTCAACAAACGTGAGATTTGGATCCCGATAGATACATTCTCTGTTCTTCTGAAGGCTCTCCACCATACTTAAATAATCCTACTTCGTTGTACTCAGATAAGCACAGTTAATGTCTAAATGATGCTTTACAGTTTATACACTATATTTACAGTCTCTATTCAGTCATTACAACCCGCTTTTGAGCAAGGGTGTTACCGTCATTTGAATGCAGGGGGGAAATAGAGGCTCCGAGAGGGAAAATCACTTGGCCTACACTTACTCTGCTAGTAAGTGGTAGAATCTGGACACAAGGACAAATCCTTTGCCCTTCCCATGTGCTGTACCTGCCACACCTTTTTTTTTTTTTTAAGCTTATTTATTTGCTTTGAGAGAGAGAGAGCTCCAGAGAGAGTGAAGGGGCAGAGAGAGGGAGAGAGAGAAACTCCAACTCATGAACCGTGAGATCATGACCTGAGCTGAAACCAACAATCTCTTAACTGACCGAGCCACCCAGGTGCCCAGCCACACCTCCGGTCAACAATTCACCAGGAGGCCCATATAGGATCATGACTAAGAGCCTGGGCTCGGGAATCAGATTGCCTGGGATTGAATCTTACTAATCGTGTGGTGTTGGGCACGTCTGCAGCCTTCCGGTGCCTCAGTCTGCTCAGCTATAAAGCAGAGATCCTAATATCTGCATCACGAAACCCTTGGAAAATTCCATCTCAAAGTCTCCCCCCTCCCCTTTCTTTCCCCCTCTTCATTATTTGCTGCACAGTGATCTTCATCTGAGAACCAGAGTGATTTGTTAAACTGTCACCAGGAGATCTTGGTACCACAAAGCTCAGGCCATTTCATTCACAAGAAGGAAGTGTTGTAAGCTGTGATTAATAAAAGGAAAAAAGTTATGAGCTGGTCTTCAGTTTTCACATCTGGCCCTAAGTCATCAAAATTTTTACATGCTAACTTCTTTGTAACATTTGTATTAGAGAAAAGTCAGAACCTGCCTCTTAGTGGCTGGAATGAGGAGAAAAGTTGTGATTGGACAGGAGCCCTGTCAATCATTTCAGGTATAAAGAGAGGAGAGCCCAGGGGCACCTGGGTGGCTCAGTCTGTTAAGCGACTGACTTTGGCTCAGGTCATGATCTCGAGGTCTGTGAGTTCAAGCCCTGCTTCAGGTTCTGTGCTGACAGCTCGGAGCCTGGAGCCTGCTTCAGATTCTGTGTCTCCTTTCACTCTGTCCTCCCCCACTCACACTCTGTCTCTCTCTCTCTCTCTCTCAAAAAAAAGTAAATAAACAATAAAAAAGAGAGAGGGAGAAAGTCTGTCACCTCATCTCTGGAGGAAGCAGCGGCCAGACTGTGTCCACGCAGCTGGCCACTGTGGACGATTTGCTTTTTGTTTTTTGTTTTTGTCTTTCTAAGATTATGGGGGGGGGGGGGGAGAGAAGGGATCTTTAGTCCCTAAAAGGATGAACAGAATTAGATAAATCTTGCCAGTAGTGGCTAAGAAACCAGTGCAAGAATCAGCTTATTATTATTATATTATTATTACTTTATTTGAGAGAGAGAGAGAGAGAGAGCATGAATAGGGAAGGGAGGCAGAGGGAGAGAAAGAGAGAATTTTAAGCCAGCTCCATGCTCAATGTGGAGCCCTGCACAGAGCTCGATCCCACGACCCTGAGATCATGACCTGAGCCAAAATCAAGAGGCAGATGCCTGGGGTGCCCGGGTGGCTCAGTGCGTTGAACATCCAACTCTTGGTTTCAGCTCAGGTCACGTTCTGACGGTTCGCGAGTTCGAGCCTCGCATCAGGCCCTGTGCTGACAGTGTGGATTCTCTCTCTCCCTCCCTCTCTTTCTGCCCTTCCCACACACTCTAAATAAATAAATAAACAAATAAACTTAAAAAAAAAAACAAACATCAGATGCTCAACTGTCTTGAGCCACCCAGGCGCCCCTCAGCTCATTAGTACTGACGATTACCTTGGGTAGACAAATTAAGAGGTTTTGTTAAATTCTTCTGGATTAACATCTGTTCTGTCTTAAAGTTCTGAACCTTTTTGGGCTGCCTTATATGAACCAGTTAATTGGGATCTGGCAAGATGAAGGGAGACTTCCCCAGTCAAAAATTCCCTTAAGGGTTTCTGCGTTGAGTGGGATAATATAATAAGCATTCCCCGAAGCGCCTGGCGTAAGTGCTCAATATGTGTCAGTCCGTGTTACAAATGTCTCCGCAGATCAATAGCTCTGGAATTTGAGAGGGTTTAGGTGAAGCGGGGCTTGTCTGCGAACATCCGGTTATTCTCTCTCTCAGGACACAAAGCCTCGGGACCTTAGCCAAATACCTGGGAAAACATGAATCACCAGCTCTTTCCTCTTCGTGGAAGCTGTCACCCTTTGAAATGATATGCCCTCCCCTCTAACCCTTTCCCTGCTCTTTAGCTCTTGACCCTGTGGACCACAAGCACGGTCAGAGATGGGCCTTTTATGTCCCAGTCCAGCCAAAAGCTCCCCAAGGCTCCGAGTCCTTTCGCTCAAGAGCGCCCCCTTCAGGCAGGATGGCAAAGCAGTGGGGAAAGATTTTTAGAGCCAGGCAGCTGTTGGGGTGTGGACACGCTCTCGGTTCCACAGATTTCGCCAGTGTGGCTTTATTTTTATTATTATTGTTATTTACTTATTTATCAAATGTTTAAAATGTTTATTTATTTTTGATACAGAGAGAGAGAGACAGAGTGCAAGCAGGGGAGGGGCAGACAGAGAGGGAGACACAGAATCCGAAGCAGGCTCCAGGCTCTGAGCTGTCAGCATGGAGCCCCACGTGGGTCTCAAACTCACGAACCGTGAGATCGTGACCTGAGCTGAAGTTGGACGCTTAACCAACTGAGCCACCCAGGCGCCCTGTTATTTCTTTATTTATTAAATGTTTATTTATTTATTTCTGAGAGAGACAGAGAGAGAGAGAGAGAGAGAGAGAGAGAGAGAGAGGGTGAGAGCCAGGGGAGAGGGCAGAGAGAATCCCAAGCAGGCTTCGCTCTGTGAGCCCCATGCCAGGCTTGAACCCACAACCCGGGAGATCATGACCTGAACCAAAACCAAGAGTTGGCCGCTCAACCGACTGAGCCACCCAGGTGCCCCCAACGTTTTTTTTTTTGTTTTTGTTTTTTTTTTTTTTTAATGCAAAGGCCAACATCTCTTCTGGGCTCCTCAGTTTTCTGCCTGGCAAGTAGCAACCATCCCCCATGAGAGCTTTCTGTGAAGCAATTAGGACTCTGACCTCTGGGGAAGGAGGAGGGACCTGCTCCCCTCGGAGAAATAGACCCATCTTCTCTCTTCACCGGCTGGTCGATTCAGAGTACATGGTGAGCTTTGCTTTCCATTACATTTTGAGAGGGTTCCCAGTACCATGCCCTCCTGCGATCATTCTTCCTCAGGTTCATGGGTTGGGGGGCACAATTGGCGCCCAGTCTCCACGTGGTGTCCTTGCCCTGAGGGACTTCCTGTCTTGTCGCCCAGCAGGACATCTTTGCGGTGGCTGCTCTTGAACTCACTCTGAACATCTGCTTCTGTTCCTCTTCTGTAAAAATAAGTGGCTGTGTTTACTTTAGGTGAAGATTCTGCAAACTCTTCCTGCAGACGCCCAGACAGCAGACATCTCGGACTCAGCTCTGCCTGCCGTGGGCCAGAGTCCTGCATAAAAGAATGGGCGCAACTGTGATCCAATAAAACTTTATTTATGGACACCGGAATTGGAATTTCATATCCTTAGCACATATCAGGAAACATTTTTCTGCTTTCGATTCCCCGCTCCCATTTATTTTTTTAAGTTTATTAGTATTAGTATTTTAGTAATCTCTACACCTGACCTGGGGCTTGAACTCACCACCCCGGAGATCAGGCGTTGTAAGCTCTCCCATCTGAGCTGGCCCCTCCCCACAACCATTTAAAATGTGGAAAACGCTCTTGGCTCGAAATTAGGCAGCGGGTCAGACCTGACCTGTGAGGTTAGCTGGCTGACCCCGCAAAGATGATAGGTTAATTGCCTTTAAAGTCCCTCCCACCTTTGAGAAACTGAGCCTGTGTGATCAGCTGCGGGGGGGGGGGGGGGGGGCAGAGAAGATTTCTCTTGCCTCTCATAATAGTGCATCCAGAGAGATGCGTCCAGCTTTTCCAAATGATCGGGTCTGGAATGCTGGAATGGGAGGACCCATGCTTGGAGACCAAGAGGGTGAGGGAGACAGAGAGAGAGAGAGAGAGAGAGAGAGAGGATGCTCGTCTTCCTCACCCTCTCCATTCCGCCTACCCCGGATCCCAGCCCTGCAGCCCGGGAGACCGTCAGTGAAACTTGATGTCCTCGTACTCCGGGCCTGTGTCCTTGGACTCCCGGGTGTCCCAGGGTCTGAGGCCTGAGAAGGTGAGGGCAGCATAATGGAGATTCTCTTGGTTACTCTCTGATTCTGAGGCTTGCGTGGATGATCTGGGTCCTGGACAAGTGTGGGGAGCAGCATGTAGCTCCTTCTGGTTTTTCTTACATTCCTGGGAGGGAGCGCCTGGAGGAGAGGCCTGGGAAGGACTGCTCGGCATGGCCTTCCGGTTCGGGTTCCGATTGCGATTGCGAGCCTGGGAGAGAAACAACCAGGCTTCCTTCCCTCCCCGCCTCCCCTCTTCCCTCCCTCCCTCCCCCTTCCTTCCCTCCCTCCTCTCCTTCCTCCCTTCCCTCCCTCCCCTCCTCTCCCTCTCTCCTTCCTGCCTTCCTTCCTTCCCTCCTTCCACAAATACTCGAGAGCTCACCATGCACCAGACACTAATTAAGAACTGGGATTGGGGCGCCTGGGTGGCTTAGTCAGTTAAGCGACCGAAAGCGACCGACATCGGCTCAGGTCATGATCTCACGGTTCGTGAGTTCGAGCCCCGCCTCGGGCCCTGTGCTGACAGCTCAGAGCCTGGAGCCTGCTTCGGATTCTGGGTCTCCCTCTCTCTCTGACCCTCCCCTGCTGGCACTCTCTCTCTCTCTCTCTCTCTCTCTCAAAAATAAATAAACATTAAAAAAATTAAAAAAAAAAAAGAACTAGGATTACATCTTGGGGCAGGAACAAACAATAAACGACGTCTGTGGTTTAAGTCACCCCGGCTGCAGCCCTTTGCCATGGCAGCCAGAGGGAACACACACAGGCAGATCCGTGCAGCCCACAGCACAGTCAAGACACAGAACTGTTCCTCCCCACAAAGCTCTCCCCACCTGCTGCTCCTCCCTAGTCCTCACTGCCTTCCCGTCCCTAACCCTGGCCACTGCTAATCTGTCCTCGGTCTCTACGGTCTGATGGTTTGCAGGGTGTTATAAACATGGAATCCTGCATACCTGACCATTGGAGATCGGCATTTTTCTTTGTTCTTTTTTTTTTTTTTTTTTTTTTGTCTCTAAGGTTTTTTCAACCAGTAGCTTCTTTCAATCATTTGTTCCTTTTGATGGCTGAGTAGTATTCCACGGGGGGTTAGTTGTCCCTATTTGGGTTTTTTTTTTTTGAAGTTTATTTAATGGGGCGCCTGGGTGGCACAGTCGGTTAAGCGTCCGACTTCAGCCAGGTCACGATCTCGCGGTCCGTGAGTTCGAGCCCCGCGTCGGGCTCTGGGCTGATGGCTCGGAGCCTGGAGCCTGTTTCCGATTCTGTGTCTCCCTCTCTCTCTGCCCCTCCCCCGTTCATGCTCTGTCTCTCTCTGTCCCAAAAATAAATAAACGTTGAAAAAAAAATTAAAAACAAATAAATAAATAAATAAAGAGAGAAAGAAGGGGAGGGGCAGAGAGAGGGAGAGAGAGAGAAGCCCAAGCAGGCTCTGCACCGTCAGCACAGGGCCTGATGCTGGGCTCAAACTCCCCAAAGGTGAGATCATGATGAGCTGAAATCAGGACTCAGACGCTTAACCGACTGAGCCACCCAGGGGCCTCCCTATTTGGGTTTTTAAAGGATACCATGCACACGGAAAGAGAGCGGAAGCAGGGGGGCACACACAGGAAGTGGTAGAACCGGCAGAGGCGGTTTGGGTGTATCTGGAAGGGGTCTTGCTAATGGGTTGATCGTGGGGTGGTGGAGACAGAGGAGCGAAAGACGGGCTTGGGCAGCCGGGCGGACGTGGTGCTGTTTGCCGAGCCGGGCCGCGTGGAGAGCATAAGCAGTGGAGTTAGTCCTAAATTCAACTCGGACGGGCTAAATCTGAGACGCCTGTTAGACACTCGAACAGACATGCCGCCCGGACCGTTGGATAGGAGTCTAAAGGTCAAGGGTGAGTTTGAGAGATGCAAGTTTTGGAGTCATCAGCATACAAATGTTCTCTCCTGGGGGTGCCTGGGGGGGGGGCCGGTTGGTTTCGGCTCAGGTCATGATCTGATGTGGGTTCGAGCCCCGCATCAGGCTCTGTGCTGACAGCAGGGAGCCTGCTTGGGATTCTCTCTCTCTCTCTCTCTCTCTCTCTGCCCCTCCCCTGCTTGTGCACATGCTCACCTCCCCTCTAAATAAACTTAAAAAAAGTAAAAATAAAAATAAATAAGTAAATAAACAAATAAATGTTCTCTCCTAAAACTATCCGGCATTTGTAGAACACTTACTAGGTGCCGGCTACTATTCTAAATGTTTACAGGTACCATGAGCATAGCGAGTACTTAGAATGATCCTACGTAATAGATACTACTATTTCTCCCATTTTCTTTAAAAAAAATTTTTTTAATGTTTATTTTTGAGAGAGAGAGAGAGAGAGAGAGAGAGAGCAAGCAGGGGAGGGGCAGAGAGAGAGGGAGGCACAGAATCCGAAGTAGGCTCCAGGCTCTGAGCTGTCAGCACAGAGCCCGATGCAGGGCCCAAACTCGCAGACCATGAGATCATGACCTGAGCTGAGGTCAGACTCTTAAGGACTGAGCCACCCAGGCGCCCCCATTTCCCCCATTTTAAACTAAGGCACAGAGAAGTTAAGAGACTTGTCCAAGAACACACCGCGATAAAACCAAGATTGTACCCGGACGAGCTGACTTCAGAGCCGCGCTCTTAATCACTAAATACACGGACTTTCCATGATATTAAGAATGATCACATCATTAATTAGAATTAGTAACCTCATCGGGGTGATAAGAACGGGCGAGCCGCTACATTTTGAGCAAGTGCATGATGTGTTCTCATCCTCAAACCAGCTCTCGAAGGAAGCAGAGGAAGAAATGGAGGCTCAGAGAGAGCGAGTGATTTGGTCAAGATCTCACAGGACTCGAATCCAACACCCATACCTTTTCCACCTTGATGTCCCTTGGGGGAAAAGGGTTGGGACAGGGCAGGGGAGGGGCGAGGGCCGGGAGTCTGAGCAGGGAAAGTAGAGACAACACACGGAGCCACTCACCAGGGGACCAGGATTGGGGACCACGTTGATGTAGTCCAGGATCGTGCTTCTCCGCGTCGCCTTGGGCTTCGGCGGAGCCCCTGCCTGGGGCGGAGCCCCTGCGTGGGCCGGAGTCCCTGCCTGGGCCTGTTTCTTCCTCAGAGTCTTCCTGCCCGGGGAACAAGCCCCTTGATTGTGCGCCCTGGCACCTCCCCGGTCCCCAGCCCCGGATCCCACACCCCATCGCGCAGGCTCCTAACTCACGTGACCAGGATGAGGCAGAGGAAAAGGAGCGTCGTGATGCCCATTCCCAGAAATATTCCGCTACCCAACGCCTTTGAGAGGAGTCCCTTCTTATCTGTGCAAGGAGACGGTCAGCCAGCTCTGAGCCTCCCCCGTTAACGTGCCCACCTGCCACCGGGCGCTCAGGTTCCAGCTCCCATTCCAGGAGTTTTATCTGCAACCCCTTCTGTCCAAGTTTTGGAAACCCCTCTGCGCCCCGGACCCAGGCGACAGGCCTTCCAGTGTGGATTGCCCTCTGCGTTCCCAGCCGCAGGTGCCACGTGCACCTTCCCAGGTCCTGCTCCAACCACAGGACCTTGCCCCTGCCCCCACTCAGCCTCCACTCGTCGGGGGTGGGGGTGGGGCCTCCAGCTGGCCCGCAGACCTGGCAACGGCAGGACCGCGGCGCTCTGTTCCCCATGTGCATTCCGGGCCTCGCAGCTGAGTCTGAGACCAGAGCCCAGCGGTCCCCTGAGGCTCAGGGAGCTGTTGGCCCAGGGCCCCTCGGAGCTGGAGGTGACGGTCAAGGAGGCGTCGCTGTGGTTCCCCTCCAGCAGCCCCTCCCCCAGCCGCCAGCGCAGCGTGGGGGCCGGCCGGGCTCGGGCGGAGCAGGTGCAGCCCAGCGCCTCGCCCTCCCAGGAGCAGGAGGGGCCGAGCAGCCGCGGGGGGCCTGCAGGGCGGGGAGGGGCAGGGTCAGCGACGCCTCTGCTCCCCAGGCCCCGGGCGTCTCGCCCCCGGGGGTCCCCACACTCACAGACCACAGAGAGAAGCAGGGAGACGTGCTGGGAGCCCAGCGAGTTCTGAGCTCGGCAGGTGAGGACTCCTTCATGCTCCGTTTGTATCTGAGGCAGCTCCAGGATCCCGGGGTCTGCGGGCTGGGAGGGGCTCAGAGTCTGTCCCCGCAGGGCCCAGCTCAGCTGGGCTGGGGGGTTGCTGTGGGCGACACAGAGCAGACGCAAGCTTTGGCCCTCCAGGGCTGGGAGGGACGTGCCATTCCCAAGGTTTTCCAGGACTGCGGGAAGGAAGAGGCAAGCTCAGAGGCTCAGCTGAGGGCACAGGGACCCTTTTGCATGGCAGCATTCCAGACGCCGAGGCCCCCAGTGTGGCACCG